GACATACATTTGATGTAGCCTCCTACAAGTACTGTGCAGCTCAGATAAATTGACTAAAAATTCCCACCTTGGAGCACAAAGTGGGCTTTCGACATACCACCATCCTGCCTCCGTGTTTAGTTTCATCTCATTGTAGTCCTGTTTGTTTAGAAACAAGCCCCCAAGGCACTTTGTCCTTATTTTGGCTTCCTGTACCACTTGGGCTCTGGAATAACAGTAAAGTTGACCCAGCTTGGACACAGTATAAATAATGTTTATCCTTTTACACGTAGAGGGTCACTGACAAGTAGGATGCTCATCTTCATCGTATCCAAGCATTGTTTGATCGACTGGCTGATGCCAAGCTTACTATTAACTTGGCTAAATGTGAGTTTGCTAAGGTGATGGTGATCTATCTTGGCCGTGTGGTGTGACAAGGGCGTGTGGCCAATGTGACAGCAAAGGTTGCAGCAATTGAGGAGCATCTTCCTTCAACAACATAGAAGGAACTCCAAAGATTTATTGATTTATATAGCACTCTCAACAATAATATAAAACAGATGGACATAAAACAGTACAGTCAAACCTACAGCAAAAATCGAATTAAAAGCTAGTCTAAATAAATTATTCTTAAGATGATGTTTAAAAGAATAAATACAATCCAGGCAACGTAAAGATGGAGGGAGAGAATTCCACAACCCAGGGGCCACCGCTCTAAAAGATCTATCACCTCTGGTTTTAAAACATGTTTGGGGGACTACCAACAGCCTTTGATTAGATGATCTCAGGCTGCAAGAGGGAGTGTGAGGCTCTAAAAGATCCTAAATGTAAACAGGAGCATCATGATTCAAAGCTTTAAAAGTCAGTGAAGCCTGTGAACTTCAAGTTTAGTTGATTTCCAAAGGCATTCTGCTTTCCTAAAGAGTCAAAGTAAAAACCTTTCCACTGTTGTATTCCCACTGACTGAGTTGTTGAAGTGTGCGTCCTGCATGACACATTGCCGCAGATCTCAAAATGGTTGTGCGCGCCTAACAGTTTTATTACCAGCTCTCTCACTCTAGTCTAAACAACAGTGTCTCAGTAACTTTCCACTAGAAGATGGTCCCGTTATCTACTTTTTCCCAGGCAAGCGTGGGCGAGAGTCTACAGCATTCTACGCCCCAAGGACACGTAGTCTAATGCCTTTATTTCAGGGCCGTGTCCACCTAATACTACACTATATGGTTATATGGCATTTTAGTTAATATAAAGCATAGAATTAAGGCACTTGAAATAATTTCATCTCAACAATGTCAGCTAGCGTTTGACAATGTAAAGCCTTTGTTGTGCTTCCCTCCTGTTTTAGCAGCTCCATGTTTTGATAGTGCATTTACAATCCTGGTGGATGCCAACCAAGTGAGCGCGGGGGCAGTCTTGCTGCAGTTTGTGACAATGTGTCATCAATTTTCTAAATAAATAGCCCCCAAAAGTTGGTTTTATTCATCTAGACAGAATGAACAGTATCATTCTCAGTCGGAGAAATGTTTCGTCATTCAACCAATTGACTTCTTGACTTCGAGTGACTGAAATGAGAAACTTTCAGTCACTATGTAAATATACTGTTTACAAGTAGATTTGCTTCTCCCACTGAAAATGTTACGTCCAGATGAACAAAATCAAATTTTGGGGATTTCTTTACCTGGATAATTGAGCATGTAACAAGGCTCATTTCTAAAGGTGTTATTGACAGGAAATTCTCACCCGATGTCGTCAACAACCCATCCAATTCACACATGCAAAGTCGTCAACCCATATATGTCCATAAATTACGTGTAATAATGAGAAATGACACAGGGGAGCATTCTTGCTGGAAATGTATTTAATACTTCATGCAAACGCCTTTCTTGGTGTTGACAGCTTCAAGACGCCTCCTGTGTGGAGAAACTAGTCACATGCATTGCTCAGGTGGGATTTTAGACAAATCGTCTACTGATAGATGACAGCAGATTTTCTTAAAATCAAGAATGTCTCATTACATTTTTCTATTCATCCTTCCTTTAGTTATAGGAAGCATGAAAAACAGCCCCACACTAGGATGTTCCCAACTCCAACCTTTATTGTCAGTTTTGCATGTTTGGGGTGAAATGCAGTGCTTTTTGAACTCCATGGTGTGTATTATGGTCTACAGAAATTTCTGTTTTGGGCTCATCTTACCACAGAATATTCTTCTTCCAATATTTCACAGGCTTGTCTAAAATGTTTTTCAGTAGACATTAAACATTCTTCAGCATGCTTTTGCTTCAGCAATGGAGTCTTGTGTGGCGAGTGTGCATACAGGGCATGGCCTGAATGCATGACCTATTGTTCTCACCACCAGGTGGAGAACATGTTTCAGTGTTTCTATCAGACTTTTATCTTATTTTTGGTTCTGTTTTTTTTTTTGTTTTGTTTTTTGTATCTGTGTGTGCTTTTTAGCCCTTTACCAAAAAATTTATTTAGCACTGATTTTAGTTACATTTTGAATGTTAAATACAAATATTTAAGCATCATAAACGTTTGCATTTGATCTGTTGAACCTCACAGACTTTTGAAATCAGAGACCTATTACAAATGTGTAGCAAATCAACAGGTGAGGGGCAATTTATATTGTTTTATATAAAGAAACAGCACACAATGCATCATTCTATAACTCTTTTATTAGAAGTGGAACAGATATACTACTCATTGTGAAACACTGTTTCTTGAATACAGTTTTTACACCAAGGTAAGATTGCATGATGTAAAGAAGAAAACAAGAAAATAATGCAAACAGACCGCTTTTTCTTTGTAAGAAAAATATGTAAGAGAGACATGATTATCATCAGAAACAGAAAGTCTTAATAACGTTAACGAAAGAAAAAAGTGATTTCTAATCAGCAGAGCTCACTGCAGGTGTGGTCACAGCCCTTCTGATGTCCTGGACCCTGACCATCATGACAGTAGTACTTGGCACACATGTGGAGGCCTCAGGTGACCACCGGTCGGGGGACTTAACAGATACACCAAAATAGAGAATATGATTAGTTA